TATGGTAGCCTAATTATTAATTAGCAGGTTGTAGGAAGCTAATTGTAACCTTTGTGTACAGTATGTTTTGATGTTATGTACTCAGGTGAATATAATGTTTTTGATGTTATTCTGAGTGCATAATATTATATCCACATCAGGCAGGCTGAAAAGTTAGCCTGACCACACTGGGAATCGAAGCCGCGACCTTTGGGATACTCTCTCTGCCAACTGAGCTATGATCAAAGCCAAGTCCGTTCGAGCATGTGGTATTTCGGAACTAAGTCTAGTATCTTCGATACAGTACCAATGTGTTCTATCATCATGATATTATTGTGTGTGTTTTGATGTTATATATGTACTCACTGACAGGTGAATATGTTTTTGATGTTACTCTGAGTGCATATCCACACCGGGCAGGCTGAAAAGTTAGCCTGACCATGGTGGGAATCAAACCCGCGACCTTTGGGATACTAGTCCAATGGTCTGCCAACTGAGCTACGAGGCCAAGTCTGTTTGATTGGCTGCGTCCAATCAACCCGCAAAGAATACACAATTGCTAAATTCAAAAGCGTTTTAACTACACTGGAAAGTAGTATTTATTGACTTGATTTACACAACAGAAGCATGGAGCCAAAATAAACTTGTCGAACAAAATTGTAAAAATTTTAAAATCAAATAATGAATTGGTTGGACATTTGTTCTGACAATATCTGAACATAATATTTCAGACTCTGAAATGTAAAGCACATTTGATATATCATACCCACATTTTGAACTATGGAATTGTTAAATTATCATAATTGCCTATAAATTGGGCCAATCATTATATATTTACATTTATTATATACATCAGACAAAATGACTGCAATCTGATTGGTTAAGAAGAGTGCAATTATTTCATTAATTGCACTAAAAAAAAAGTACTGACCTAAAACTCCTGGGTGAACTTTCAATATTTTAAACTTGAACAATTTAGTTGTTGACATACAAATCAAGAACATGCGATTTGTACTATATCGTTGCCTCAAACAAATCTTTACATAAACCTCAAACCATTTATTGTTAAGGAAGACATTTATAGTTATTTAATTCTTGTGTGTAGTTTAGATATCCAGATAACAAAACAATCTTGTTCAGTTCAACCATGTTTCAACTGTCATTTAATCATTTATTTAACAATTATTCGCCGAAGGCGAGGTGATTATCGGTAAATAAAAACTGAGACAAAGTCAAGGTTTTTATTCACGATAATCACCGAGCCTGAGGTGAATAATTGTTTTAGTATAATTTCATAGGTGATTATTTGTAAAAAATAAAAAAATGCACATTTCTACATCTTTTAATTGACAAAACGGCTTCGGCCGCCATCTTGAAAATCGCTTAGGTGATTATCGCGTAATAATCACCTCAACGGTAACCAATCAGCGTGGAGAATTTTCAATAATCACCTATGTAATTATACTAACATCAATTAAGCTGTGATAAGAGCTTTATTAGGGGTCAGGGGCGGATTTAGGATAAGTCCAATCAGTCGCGTGACTGACGTATTTTTTGCAAAGAAATAATTAATTCATTATCTCGAAATTTGAATACTAATTAATTCCCTTTGCGATTATGATATGAAAATCATAGTCCAGTTTACGTCTTTATGAGCTCAGTTTTGAATAAATATATGCTTTATCTAGAGCAGCGGTAAAACGCAAGAATCTTGCAGAATCGGGTGGTCTATTCTGCTCATTTGATTGGTCGAGAGGTCATTTGGACTTATCTGGACTGATCTGTGGGGTGGTTGGACTGATTTGCACCTTAAGGGAGTTTTTATGGGGTGGTCCAACTGATTTGTTTCTTAAACCCACCCACCCATAACGTCAATTCAATGTTATGCATGGTAACATGACAGGGTGTTAGCTAGCCCATATACTGTCTGTTTGGTAGACTCTTCCCAATTGAAGTAGCTACGGGGCTTTCCCAACTGGCTCTACTGGAAGATTTTCATTTTTTCTGATGAGAAAGTGCATTTCGTTTGATTTTATATTATTATATCAAAGAATTATTTACATTTTCGCATTAACTATTTTCTCAAAATGTATCGCGTTTCATTCATATTGGGTGTGTATTCACTGAAATGAAAATGTACAAAACAAAGTGTGATCGGTGTGCATCCGTGTTTATTCACCGGAAATGAAATATACAAAACGAAGTGCCATCGGGTGCATTTTTCAGTGTTCATTCACCGGAAATGAAATGTACAAAACAAAGCTACCATTGTTTGCATCTAAGGAGAAACACGTTGGAAAAAACACTATTTATTCCTACACAAGGACTTTGATCGGTCAAAAAACCTTTCCCAATTTACGTTTAACAGACAAAACTTTCTTTTTCTGGCTAACACCCTGCATGAATATGGACGTGGCCCCTAAAAGAAATAAATAATCTCATGGAAAAGTTGGCGTGTGCAATTAATATGATCAACACTACTCCTCGCCTCGGTGGCTTGTGCAATTTTGCCACATCTTCAAAAACGTAGTGTTAATCATTAATTGCAGTCCTTGCAGTGTAACTTCCTATACTAATTCATACATACAACATCATCATTGTCTCGATAAATCACTTTACCTGCAAATTCCTACAAAGAAATAAAACAAACATCAATATTTCAAGCACAAAACCTGAACAAATGCAGATGTCCATCAATATTAAATTATATCTCTGAACAAGCAATAATAACAAATGAATATTTACCAGTTTGTCATATCTAAGAAAAATACACATCCTGCTTGGCTGAGTTGAAAATTTAGCAGTCTTTGTAGTTCCGTTATTAAAACATCCCTATCTGTCGTTCCTAAAGCATTAAATCTTGATAATAAGTCTTGATCTAATTCACTGTCAACGTCCATAACGGTAGAATTGATATAAACAATATGAATTTTACCAAATTCATCAAAATATGAATTCCAAAATATATATATTGTAGAATGTCAACGAGAAGTGCTAAGTCACAGAATTCCTTCACAAGAGTTATCGAATTCCTTAGTTTTTCCCACATTCGTTCAGTTCACTTCACCGCAAATATCACAAATTCCTGTCGGTAAGGACAAATCCTTTAAAGTGAAAGAACTGCATAGTAATAATGACGTCATTTATTTTACACACGCGCGGACGTCACGTAGAGTTCGGTCACTGAGCTATACTATATCACTATATTACTGGAAGAAGTGCTGAGATTCTGGGTACATAGTTGAACTATAAACAAGACGCCTGCTCAGGCGTTCACACTGGCCTGAAAATGGCAACTTTCGTGGTACTGGGTGCAATGTGTAGTAGAGAAGTGGATAGGGATACAGGATCATAGGGATACTGGATCATATAAATACAACCAAATACAATCATGATCAGCAACAATCAACCATAATATACCAAGACGCCGGCTCAGACGTACCGTCCGGCTACGGGCAACTCAACCTGACAAGCCAGGCCCACTGTAATATTATGATCATCAACTACCAACCGTGAATAATGACGGGCCAATAATAGCGAAGAAATTATAGTCCTTGATTTTTAGTGCCGTTATATGGCTAGTTTCAGGTGCTAAAAAGTTCATAGACGTAGACGATTCTTCTAAAAAATACGCCAATTTGCTTCCATTTATAAGATAAACTGATCCCAACCCAAAGCCCTTCTCTAACCCCAACCAGTAAACATCTAATAAACAATTTGAGAATTAAAAAGGGGGGGGGGGGGGGGGGAAGTTGGATCTTGTTCCAAAAACAAATCGAACCGTATCACGTTTCAATTCGCCGCACGCAACGCCACCTCGCTGAATACAATCGAAAACATACATTTTATAGTAAGAAATGATGAATTAGAAAGTAATTTGGCGCAAATTAATGTAATCAGGTGCAAATTTATAATTATGTAAATAAATACAAGAGCACAACGCATGTTTATGAGCCTGCGACGTTGTACGTTACGTACAACGTATATTTATACTTGTTAAAAAGTCAAACTGTCAAACCTTCACTTGTCCTTGTTTATATTTCACTATACACAAGCCGCCCAATCTTACCCTGTGTTATTAATTTATTACGTTATATCTTTATATAATAGTACATTGAAAATCACTTACATGTGTTTCCTGAAAGATTTTAACGAGAACTGGCCAAGATTAGCGTTGACATGAGGTTAACGGCCATGGTTGGGGTTGACATGAGGATTAACAGCAGGAAATAATAGAAGGCTGGTCACTTTGACCGTTAATTGGACTAATTGGGACAAACGCTGACAGAAATCAATCGAATAACGCGAACTTCGGCTGTCGCATCGTCGCCAAATTACGTTACATCGGAAGAGCGATAATTTTTACATAATATACTTTTCTTTAACAGAAATGAACAATATCTTCCTGCAGAAAATGCCGAATTGAAACTTACAAATGTCTAATCTTACGAGGTTTGTAACCGGTATGACTTCATGGCCTTCAAATTCGAATTACACGCTGCATTGTCATTGGTCGGCTTTCAAAACAACAACAGGCCATTTCCGGTAAAAGAGCGAACGTTGGGGGAGTTAGCGAATGGCCTCTGCGAATGTATAATTTATTTAGTAAATTAATAACACAGGGTATTGGTAAGATTGGGCCGCCTGTGCACTATATTGTATAAATTCGCTCAGGGCCTTTTTTTAACATGCAAGCTAGGAGGGGAATACTGAGTCCCCTTCTTACAGAGTCCCATTTGCCCCAGGAAAGAGTCCCTTTTCTAAAATTATACAAACAAACAAGCAGATTAACAAATAGATAAACGAAAAGGGTGTATACTGAGCTTAGAGCTCTCTGCGATGAAAGAAAGGCCTTAAAAAGGATCCCTATGATGATTGCGTGCCGCCTTTCAATTAGGATGTCACAGGTCAATTAATATCAACCAATCAGCGCAGACCGGAAATACACTTAAATATTGTAAACATAAACCGATAAACGTTGAACTCCATTTATATTGTATTCTTTCGTTAGTTTCGTATACAGACTGCCACTGGGGCATACTAAAAAGTTAAAACGGCTTGAGGTTTTACAGTGTAATATATCAAGTTGTACTTTTTATTACAATCTGCATGTGTTTCTGTAGGCACAGTAAGTTTAAAGTTGTATATTACCCGCTAATTAATTCAGTTGTTTGGAATTGCTTCATGCTGCAATCGGCAATAAATATATATAT